TGGGAAAATTGGGACACTAAATCACTGTTGATGGAACTGTGAATTATGCCCAAAGAGTTATTAAACTGCCTATACCCTTTGACCAGCAATATAACTATTAGGTCAGTTTCCAAAGACGATTAGGAAAAATGGAAAAGAACTTATATGTCCTAAAATATATATAGCAGCTCTCTTTGCGATGGCAAGAAACCGGAAATTGCAGAAATGCCCACCATTTGGGGAATGGCTGAATAAGTCGTGGTATATGATCATGATGGAATATTACTATGCAATAAGAAATGATGAGCTCAATGACCTTAGAAAAAGAGTGAAATGAGCAGAACCAAGAGAATGTTGTACAGTAATAGCAATATTATTTTAAGAACAACTTTGAGCAACTAAGCCATTTTGACTATTATAAATACCCAAATTAACTACAAAAGACCTACAAAAGATGATACTACCTGCATCTAATTATACTTTATAAGGAGCTATTTTCTTCAGTGCTGTTTTGAGTCTCTTTTACCGTTTGGCCAATTCTGATTTTTAAGGAGATATTTTCTTTAATATTTTTGTACTTCTTTTACCAAGCTGTCAATTATTCTCTTTTCATATTTTTCTTGCACATCTCTCATTTCTTTTCCCAATTTATCCTCTACTTCTCTACTTGATTTTTAAAATAATTTTTTGTTCTTTTAATTATCTCTTTCTTGAACTCTTCTAAGAATTCTTGTTGAGCTGGTATCCAAGTTGTATTTTTATTCGAGATGTTTTCAAGTCATTCTCTTCTTCTGTGTTTGTATCTTGAACTCTCCAGTCATGATTTTAATTTTTTATGGTCAGTTTCTTTTTTTTTTAATTGTTTGCTCATTTTCTAGCCTATTTCCTAACTTTGGACTTTATGTTGTATTGGGCCCTACTCATCTCTGGGGGAGATGACTGACTTGAACATCTGTCTTTTATGTCCTTCTGCTCTTTTCATGGCTCATTCTGAGGGCCTATAAGTTTTCAGTGCTTCCAAAATGTTGTTTTCTGGGAGAAATCTGTTCACTGCCCTCTTGGTTTGCTCTTTAAATTCCTGACCCAGGTGGGATCTGTTGACTTGTGTGTGGTCAAGTTTCCATAGACTGCTGCTGGACTCAGTCACAATTAACTTGCTGGGAGTTTCTAAGGTTCAGTGACTGTACTGCTGGCTCCTCTTTGTTTTGGTCTTCTATTCTGGTTTATCCCACTGCAGGCTTACCTATGGGACTAAAGGTTAGAAATGAGCCCCACAGCTATGTTTCTGAAATTTGTTCCTTGCTTCTCACACAGGTAGGACCGAGACCCTTAGACCCCAACCATCACTGTTCCTCTCTGCCTTGGAACTGTGACGCAGAACTGCATAATGAGTGACAGAACTGCTAGATGGCACCTATTCTTGCTCTCACCGCTAGGTCCTCCAGGATCTCTTTCTGCCCAGGTATTCAGTCTCCTTATTATCCCTGGGTGCTCTGGGCTGCTGCCTGCCATTGCCACTGATGTCTGCTGCTTCTGACTACCACTTCCATGCTGCTGCCATCTTGCTACTGGACTCAGATGACCCTGGAGGAGAGAGTAGGGCTGATGACTCTGCACAGCTCTGCCTCACTCAAATCCAACTGACTTTCAAGTCAAGACATCACCCTCTTGATGTCAGTGGTCCTCTTTGAGAACAAAGGACAAACAATTACAATGCTATGTTCCTGACCAGCTCCCAACCCAGTGTCTACAGACCTCTTTTTCTGTCTTCTTAAGCTTCCCTGGGCTGGAAAAATAACTCATTGTGACTGTTTTCTTGACCTTCCCGCTCATAATTTGGGTTTGGTGCATTTTCTGGGTATTGTGGAAGGGTTATATAGGAAGAGCCAGGTGAAAATTCTAGCTATCACTCCACCATCTCAATTCTGCCCTTACAACCCTATTCTTAATATTTCTCTTCTTGAAGGTAGGGACTGTTTCTTGCCTCTTTATGTATGCCCAGAACTTAGCACAGTGCCTGGCACATGCTAGGCACTTAATAAATGTTTATTCATTGTTGACCATTTATCGAGTCAACAAATATTTATTTAATGTCTATTATGAACCACACACTGTGCTTTGTGCTGAGAACACAGAGACCAAAAACTGATACAATCTTTGCCCTAAGAAATTATCTGTATGTTATTCTTTTCTCTTGTGAATAAAACCTAGAAAAAGTACAGAGGTGGTCTGGAAACAAGAGGAGAATGAAAAAAAAAGGATAAGAATGTTAAACTGAGCACCAAGATACTGTGGCAGCAACAGAAGAATGGTGAAAGAGGATCAGCAATTGGTTATGGGAAATTTCTGAACCATACCCAAAGAAGAGGGGAAGGAAAGGAAGGAAATAAGCATTTATTAAGCACCTACTATGTGGCAGGCACTATGCTAAGCAATTTACACCTATTTCATTTGTTCCTCTGCCCTGTAAGGTATTGTTATCCCCATTTTATAGATGAGGAAACTGAAACAGACAGAGGTTAAGTGACTTGCCCAGGGTCATACAGCGAATGAGTTCCTGAGGCCAGATTTGAACCCTGGTTTTCCTGCCTCCAGGTCCAGTGCTTTTTCCACTGCATCATCTTGCTACTTTCTTAGAAGGAGAAAAGAATTACCCTATACATACTTCTCGCATTCTCCAGGTCATCATTCTTCCTGGCATGCAAAGGTTAGGCGTTTTTAAAGAATGTGTCTCAAGAAATATAGCCAGTCTTACTAGACAGCATCTTTGGCATTCTCTCTGTGGTTGCTCATTTCGGAATACTAGATTTGGATTCAGGAGACTTGGATTCATATTTTAACTATAATAATCACTCATGTGACTCTAAACAAATTATTTAATTCTCTGAGCCTGAGTTTCTTCATATGGATGTAGTGCAGGTTCACTCTTCCAACCCCTACTTGCGTTGGCAGGTTGGGGCCTAAAGGGCAGCTGCTTACTTCATTCCACAAGAGTCTTAGGGTAATTCTGAGGAGTTTGGGCAGGCGGTAAATATTTAACAATTGGCTCTCTGAAAAAAATACATATGACACATTTTAAAGTTTAATCCACATTAACATTTTTCTCATCACTTTCTTAAGGCTAGACAATCAACAAAACAGTAAATCAAACCCTGATTTATAGCATTTGCTGATTTTTGAGGTGTAAATGTTCACACTGAAACAATCTGCCCTCAATCCTGATTAGACCTTGCTTTTTCTAGTTACTGTAGCTCCCAAGTCCCCCACAGATGGACTCTCCCATTGATCATCAGTTGTCATCAATGATCTAACCAGAATTAATTAGCTCTTAGAAATGGATATTTGTTAAGGTGGTATAGTAAGAACAACTGGCTCAAAATATCCCATCAATCCAAAGGCACGATCTTCTACCAGTACATAAAGAGTCCAAGGTTAGAGAGTGAGCACATGTGGCAAAGAGGTAATCCACAGTTCCTAATTAGATGGAAGTCTCCTCCTCCCTTTGGGGAGTTCTCATAAAGTTCCACTGAGATATGTATTGCTTTTTGTCAATTTGGAGTCAATTTGTCCTCAGCTCTTCCGTGATGATATGCTGCCATTAGCCATTGCTGTTGAGGAACACATCTAGGATGTCCATGGCAAGTACCAGATTTTCCAACCTTTCAAAATTTAGCAGGTCTTCCTCTGGTTAATGGAGAAGAGGGTGGAGGAACCAAGGTTCTCTCCCTGTTTCCTCCCCCCCACCAAACAATTCTCTACTCCTTCCCTACTCTTGAAGCTACTGGCTGGAATTCCGGATTCTGAAATGACTGGCCATTTTATTCAAGCTCCCAAAGGCATGACTGGGTCTTCTTAGGCAATCCCAAGCATTACATTTCATCAATGACTTTCACTTCCTTCAAATTGATTAAGGACTTCGAGACTCTATAGAGTGTTCTTATCTGATAAAAGCATTAGAGCTACTGCATCTTGTTCGTCTAGGCAATTGGAATGGGGTGATTGATTCAAACAAGAAGTCCACCACCCTTACATGTAAAATAGGGGATGATTGTAAAACAACAACTCTCATGGGTTGTGATGAGAAAATCACAGGATTAAGGTTTTATAGAAATGTGAGATATTGTGATAGAAGAGGACTGAGGAAGTCCCTCCCTGCCTCCCCACCCTTCACCCCAACAAATATCTTCCCCAACTCCAGTCATTCAGCAGAGCCTAAAATTCCCATTATTAGAGGTTGATTCTTTGAGTTCAAGCAATGCTGTCTATTTAAATGCAAATGCCTTTGGGATGGATAACAGCAAAAGCTTTTTGTCCTTGAACTTCATTGTGAATGAGTTTATCAACTCCTTCCAGTGACAACCAGCTGAGAATAGGTCCCAGGAAGAGGCACACAGTTCTGATTAGAAGCGTGAGAGGAGAGAAATTCTGTCAGAGCCAAAAAAAGGCACAACCATGGTGAAGCTCCCTGGGAGTCAAAGGGCACACAACTAAAGAGGGCACTTGGCATTGGCAACTGTGGCTAATCACACCTTTTCTGGTTGGATGGACATAGACTCGCCCAGGTCCACAGGCCAACAGTAGCCCCAGGATGTCAGGAGGGCTGGTAAGGTAGGAAGTCCTCATCAGGTAGGTTTGAAAGAGAATGTATCTAGGGTGGAGGGGATCTGTGAGTAGGTCCTACTACTCATGACCATGGTGGCTCTCTCTCTCGTCCCTTCATGGGTCTTGGAGCAGAGGTGTGGCTCTGGGCATTCATACCCACAAGGCCAAGAATGGAACTAGGTGAGCACACACATAGCAGGGGCTCAACATACACTGTTTCGTTAAACGGCCCCTGAATCTACCCTGCCGGCCCTACCACTGGAACAGAAAATCAAGAAAGAATTCATATGACTAATGTCAGCCCCATTCTCAGGGCCAAGTTTTATAATGTGCTGGGCCATTTTAAAGGAACAGGAAGTCATGGAAATTAAATACTGATCTTCATAAAACCATACTTGAATTATTCAGTGGTTGATTACCTAATGCTTCCATGATCCAGGCTCTTCTAGGCTTTTCACCTCCCTCCTATGGGCAGCTTCCAGCTTTGGGTCCAGTCATTGTCTGTTAGGAGAATCTCTCAGAGTATCTGCCCTGTGGGCTAGGCTCTGCAACACATTAAAGGTGTGAAAAGAGAGGAGTGTTAGGAGGCTACAGATGAGCTCAGGATGTGCTCGAGGAGAAAAAGCTGGGGAGCCTCACGAGCCTAGTGCATTTAAGAGTGAGTGGCCCGAGGCCTTTCCCCTCAGCTGCATCTTACTAATGCCAACTTAGGGGGAGGCATTTCCCTCCAGCAGAGTGTGAGTCAAGAGACAGCCAGCAATCCTGTCTCATGGAACTCAGAAAAGAAACAAAAAAAAAGACTCAGCTGTGTTCCAGAGGTCTCATGCTGAGACTCAGTATAGTCCAGGAATTGAATTTATGATATCCATGTGATGAATGAGTCTTTAACACGCCTTTACTATTCCCTAGATTACAGAAACACAGAATTTTGGAGTTGGGAAGGAGCTCACTGGCCACTCAGTTCAACCCATTCCAAAAAAAGGAATTTTATGTACTATAACATATTAGATAAATGGTCATCCAGACCTCTAGAAGACCTCCCAAGGACAGGGACCCCTTGAGGCAGCCCATTTCACTTTGAGGAAGTTCTGATCATTAGGGAGTTTTGTTTTTGTTTTTCCTGACATCAAGTCCATATCTGTAGTTTTCATTCCCAGGCTGATAAGCCAGAGGAGATGGATGGATTAATCAGCTCTTCAGTCTTGTTCTTTCTTACACTGTAAAGATGATAAGCCAGCTCATGAAGGGGAGCAAAGTAAAGTGACATCTTCCAACCTTAGAGTACTGGGGGAGGATAGCATATGAACGGGGGTGGGGGGGTGGGGGGGGTGGAGGGTGAGTGCTTGCTGGTCAATGTTACCCTGCGGTTATTTAAATAACCTTATATTCTCCAAGCTCTCAACTGATACATTCCAAAATTCTTGGATCCAATCAATAGCTGCCATTTGTAGAGCACTTTACACATGCTATCTCATCAAAAATTTAAAGAACAAATATTAAAAATTGTTTTTATATGTAATTGGATAAAAAATATTACATATGCTAGCTCATTTGATCCTCAGCAGAGATACTCTCATGATATCCATTTTACCTGTTTGTTCCCAGTCCTAGATAAGCAAACTGAGAAATATGAAATGGTTTGCCCAGGGTCTGTGTCTGAGTCAAGATTTGAACTTACATCTTCCTGACTACAGCCTAGCAGTCGATCCATGTTGTCCCCTAGCTGTTTCATATAACTCAAATAATCACTTCAGATTTTTTCCCTGAGTGGGCAGACCAAGGAGGCTATTTTACCCTCCAAACAGAAACTGAGCCATCATTTTTTGCCCCATGATGGTGGCTCTCTTCACCTTCTAGGCAGAACCACAGAAAAGCCAGTGCCCAGACTGTCTATATACTCTTCTCCAGCCTCCTCTTTCACTTTGATGAAAACAGATCATGTAGGTGGGCCCTAAATCATCTCTGCCATCTGCTTTCTCTCTGCCAGCTCAGCCCCAGCTCACCTCACACACAGACAGGCCTTGTTGGGACCAGGCACACCATATAAATTCTCTGGTGGAGCAGGAGGGTAACTGACCTCTACTGAGACATGGCTTTCTCTTAAATCCACAGCACCTCCATACCTCCAGGAGGGGCAAGCTTTGCTGGTGTTCAGCTTTCTGAGTTTATGCTGCCAGGAGAAAAGGCAAACGGAGGAGAGGAGAGGGATAGAAGAAGAGGGTGCATATACACTGATTGGTAAGGATGAGATCATGGAAACTGATGATGTATGGTCGTGAGAGTCACTCACCACCAAAAGAGTGATTTAGAGGCCAGTAGATAACTGGGGGGGCTTGACTGAGAGGATGGTGGTAAGTTCTATAATCACTTGATTTCCAAGTGATCTGAGACAATGAATGATAATGTAATAATCTATATGCTGTACATAATCCTTAATGTGCCTTTTAACATGCCATCTTTTACTTTAAATTACAGCCTTCTCCAGATTTTAAGATCTAAGGGAGGCTAATTAGCCACCTCATTGCTGCATCTTGCCCCCACCACTAATTTCCTTTGTAGTGGTATGATCCCTCAGCAGATTGCAAAGGGATGTGCAGTCTGACCTCTGGTCTCAGAATCTGAGGGCATCTTAGTCGACAATGTAGGAATCCAGCCCCGATGCCCAATTGCCCTGATTGGGTTACATTTTGAAGGTATGCCAAGCTTTGCAAGAGGAGCACCAAGAGCATGTTACATCGGCGTAGAAGCACCTGCTACTACGAGGGCCCTATGTATAATTCCTGAGAAGGCCAAGGTAACCTCTGAGGTCCTTCTACTGAGCCTTAGGTGTCACTATTACAATCTGATGATGATGATAATGATGAAGAAGAAGAAGAAGAAGAAGAAGAAGAAGAAGAAGAAGAAGAAGAAGAAGAAGAAGAAGAAGAAGAAGAAGAAGAAGAAGAAGTAGTTAGAAAGAAGGAGGTATGGCTGAGGGGAGTCCTCAGTCTCTAGGCAGCTCTAGAAGTATAGCAGCCACCACAGACCTTGGGCCAGGGGTGGGGAACCTGGGGTCTTGAAGACACACGTGGCAGTCAAAGGGGTGCACTTAAGGACCTAGAGGGCTACGTGTGACCACAGGTTCCCTATCCCTGCCCTGGGCCGTCTCCTTCCTTTTAAAAGAATTAGGATCCATCAGGGAAACCATCCCTTAAGGGATGGACCTAAGCCTATGGATTGAGACTTGTAGGCTTCTCTGACTAGCCCCTCAAAGGACCAAATCTACTTTGTTTACTAGACCTTAAAGTAGCCATAGGGAGATTTCAGGGGCAAATGAGGAAAGCCTCTCTGCCTGTCCCAACCCCAATATCTCCTCACCTGCTTATTAATTTCTCAAATGCCCTTTGGATGACAAAGCTTTTCATTCTGCAATTAGAGATAAAGTATTTAAAATGCAAATAGCTGGCCAAGGTGAACAGTGACTCTGTCCCAGCATCAGTCAGCAAGGGCAGACAACATTCACCTTCCCAGCTGGGGGTGGGGTGGTGGGGGCTAGAGGAGGCTAGAGAACAGGCTGGCTCTGAGACAGAGGGGTTACCAGCGAGGAAGAGATGGGGAAAGCTGGGTAGGATTACAGAAAGGGAAGGCTGAGGACCCAAAATAAACTTCTACAGCTTCATGATTTTTCCTGGGGCCTAAGCTGTTTACCTTCTACTATATTCATGCTGCAACTTAGTGGGAGCTCTGCCAAGCCTGATTAGCCAAGACCTCTTTTGAGGTCACACTTGCTTTGCTCCTAAGGCTGTATATCCCACCACCACATACTGTGATCTATTCTGTCCCTACAACACACTGATGTAATGTTGGAGTAGCCATTATATTTAATTATTCTATTAGCCATTTATCTAAGTAATGTTAAATGCCATTGTAGAAAACTCAATTTGCAAATTATTAATCTGTCTCTGAATTGGTGCTAAAAACCAAAAGCCCTTAACTGTTTTCTGCCTGCTCTAATGATAAACTATTAGCAGTTGGGTTCCCCCATACCCCAGATCTGTTATTTCATTGGTATTAGTCACTTCCTTGTAGTATACAGTAGTATGTAATGTAATGTGCCTTTTAGTATATGATGATGATGATGATGATGCAAAATTTTACATAGCATTTTCAGATTTGCAAAACACTTTGCACAAATTATCTCATATGAACTTCACAACAACTCTGTGAAGTAGGAGCTATTTTTATCCCCATTTTACAGATGAGGAAACTGAGCATGAGAGAGCTAGCAACTGGCCCAGGGTCATACAATGGCAAACTCTGAGGGAGGATTTGGCTTTAGGTCAGCCTTGCTCCAGATCCATCCAGCTATTTCTCAGGAACTCAGAGTCTTAGAGAGTTGCCTGGGGGAGCTGAGGGGTGACATCATCACTAGTATTTATAGAGTGTCTACTGTGTGCCAGGCACCATGCTAAGTAAGTGCTTTACAAATACAATCTCATTTGATCGTCACTGCAACCCTGGGTGGCATTCCCATTTTGCAGTTGAAGAGGCAGAGGCAAACAGCAGTTTAAGTGACTTGACTAAGGTCACATAGCCAGTCTATATCAAATGTGGGACTTGAACTCAGGTCTTCCTGATTCTGAGGTCAGACCTCTGGACATTGCACAATATTGCCTCTCAGATTTCAAGCAAGTACTTAATGGATTGGTTTGTGGTAGAGTGGAAGAACATGTACTGGCAAGAAATTAAGAGACAAGATCCTGTCCCGGTTCCTTGGGCAAATCACTTAACTCCTCCCTGCCTCAGTTTCCTCATGTGTAAAATGAAAATGTTGGACCTGATTTCCTCTCTAAAGTTTTTTCCAGGTCTAAATTCTTTGGATTCTATTGTCTTTGTGACTTTTAAACACGGTCCCTTAAATTACACTAACACAGTTCTACTTTGAAGAAATCCTAAGGACTCAAATTAATGAAGAATGCTTTGCATTTAGCCTATTACTTATTTATGTGTAAATGGCACCTCTCCTACTACTTGAAAAGTTGGTTTCCTTAAGTAGTTTAAATGTTTCCCCTGAACTCTGGTTTGTTATCATTAAGTGCCCATACCAAGCCATTTGTCATATAGTTTACAGAGAAGCTTTAGCTTGGTCTTCGTTCAAATCTTCACAAATTCCGAATTCACAGAGTCTGGATCAACAGTATTTCACTAGATTTTTATTACATCATAAATAGAAATGCTGTTTCATGTATGATTCAGAATGGCCATTAGTCACTAAGTTCCCATCAGTGACCTCCAGGGTGCCTGGATGTGAACCAATCCTGTAACCTATGCAAATGAGCATCTCTAATTGCTTCTGCATCCATTACTCATTTCCCAGAAAAGCAATGAGCTCTCTCACCTGCTGGAGGACATAACTGTGTATTTACCTCCATATCCTCGGGGAATCTACACTTTCATAACTAGAGATCACTTAGGGTTAGCTGTTAAGCACAGGTGAAAACAAACATTTCCTTGGGAAAAGGGCTGGATTTTGAGTCAGTTGTTTTTCAGTTGTGTCTGACCCTGT